GCACCCTCGAATAAAGTAGGGTTAACACCAAAGGATAACACCGAGGGAAACAGAACTAAGTCTCTAGCTACGCGCATGGCACCACGCACGGGGACTACATTAGGTTGAGTATCCTTACCCCCTAACCTGCCTCGGAGAACATCAAGCGCATGGCCAAAGACATCGACCGCTGAACCCTCTACGAAACCCATTCCAAACACCCCACTCACCGTGACCGAGAAACAACTAGTGGAATCACTCAAACTAATTGGGAAGTCGGGCGTGCCACCCACAACGAACCCAGGTCACAGGAGGGCTAACTCGATCATTTTGTTCAACGTCGATGTATCAACAGACTCATTGTTGATCGAGAGGGAAGGGTTTGACAGCCGAATGTGGACCGACTACTGTACGACGCTGGGACTCCCTCATCTCCTTGTAACATTGTCGCCTTTCTCGTGGAAGCCGGACACCCTGGGACAAGCCACTCGTTTACGCGTGCCCTTGAACGCTGCTAAAGAGGTCAAAGACACCCTCCTTCTTTCGCGACAACCGGACGTTGTTAATGCTTGCTAAATTCGGGCCAGGTCTGACAAGCCATGGTCAATAAGAGAGGAGGAGAGAAAGTCAGTGGTTGGAAATCCCAACAGAAACAACACTATAGTTGTACATGGGATTCCAGAATTGCCAAGTGACCACTCGGTTATAGACCGCTACTTCCACGACGTCCAACAATGGCAATGACCCTCAACCAAAGTTGATCTTCACAGTATACCGGCCAACAGCGTCAGTAGACTGCCAAGGCCAGCGCATCTGAAGACCATACCCAATCCCAGACTACTCGCCGTCCAGCTCGACTCATATGCCTCCCTCACAGACGTTCTACAGGCATGGTATAATGCGAAAGGTCGCATGGGTGGCTCAATACGTATGTGTGAAAGTAAGCCTAGACCCGCAAGGCAAGAGGGGAGACGGCAACCACCAAGACCTCCGGAGTCAGTGGTCGTCACACAGGCACTGACCAGTGAGTTCGATACATCAAGTAAAGAAGCCACCACTGCCACAGCCCCCACCCAAGTTAAGAACAAAACACAAAAAACGGAACAATGCCAGTCCTATGAGGACCGACGAGGCTAGACCCAACCACGTAAGCGCTCATCCGGCGAAAATACACAACCAGCTCTCCCCTCTCACCAGGCACACTCTAATATGTATGTACAGCAACGTTAGGGGGCTAAGAGGGAAGGTAGCAGAAATGAGGACGCTGCGTGCACATCAGCACTCCGACATCATATTCATCACCGAATCCTGGCTCTCGTCGGACATCTCCGACGAAGAGATGCATGTTACTGGCATGGAACTCTTCCGCAGGGACAGAGGGCTCAGAGCAGGAGGGAGGGAGTGGCTATCTACGTAAACTGCCGTTTGAAGGCAAGGATGGTTAGCGATACGGCCTTAACCCAGCTCCCAGAGTCTCTATGGTGCTACTTCACTCTCCACAGTACCAAATACCTGCTCGGAGTCATATATCGGTCCTCCACCGGCTCCCCTACACATAAGGAAATGATCATCAAGGCTATCTTAACGACCTACTCTGCTAATTACGATTCCGTAGTCATTGCCGGCGACTTCAACACCCCGTCCATCCTCTTCGAGATGGAAGGGAGACGCATCAGATCCTTCAATCAGAAGCTGAAGGATGCAATTAAGACTGCTGGCCTCTCAGAGAAAGTGGGTGATACTACACGCTGGGGACCTAACGGAAACGCATCGCGCCTTGACTACGTTCTGACGAACGATGAACTTCTCATTGAGGACGTTTGCATCCAACCTCCCCTTGGCCTCAGTGACCATGCTGTAATCACCTTCTCCATGATAACTAGGGAGGCTCTGCAACTGGAGGCGCCCAACACCTTCCCTTGCTACAGCAAGGCCAACTATGAGACCATGAGGGACTATCTCATGAATGCATCATGGCCGGTAGACTGGGCTCATCTCACAATAGATGAACACTGGTTGGAGGTGAAGAAAATAATCACTGGGGCCATTAGTCACAGTGTACCAGAGGTAACACACAGACTGTTGGTGAGAACCTCATGGCTAAAGCGTGAGACAGAAAGGCTTATCCAGAGCAAAAAGCAGGCTTGGTTCAAGTGGCGTACATCACGCAGGGAGTCTGACTTCTTGAACTACAAAGGGATTCACAACCGCCGTAACATTAGAATGCGTAGCGACAGATTTTCCGATCAAACAAACTTGGCGGCGAGGTCACAAAGCAATCCCATAGAACTGTAACGCTTCATTTCAAGAAGGAAGTCGGCTAGTAAAGGAGTGAATCTTATCACGGGTCATGATGGGAGCGTACTAAGCAGTCTAGAGATTGCCGGGCTCTTGAGTTCACACTTCCAAGTCCAACTTAGTACCGTTACTAAATCCACACCGATTCGTTACGACACCGACCAGGTCATAAATAACGAATACCTCTGTCACATCTCATCACAGAGAAGTGTTCGAGAAACTGTCTAGGCTCAGTCCAGGCAAGTCCCCTGGCTGCGATAACCTAAAACCGGTGGACCTAAAATACTGAGCCGAGGTGCTTACAAAACCACTCTGCAACCTCTTTAAGCACCCAACAGAGTCGTGCAAACTCCCTGAAGAAAGGAAGGAGACAGAAGAAGCCCTGGTGGCTACAGGCCAATTGCTCGACTCCCTATTGTGTAGAAAGTGTTGGAAAGCCTGGTGGCTGACACCATCTCGGAATTCCTCAATAGAGCAAACACTGTCCATACTGCTCAGCGTGGCTTTCCGAGTGGTCGCTCATGTGCCACCAACTTACTAACCGCCTGGGATTACTGGTCAGAACGCTGGGATAGCAGAAAACCGGTACATGTTGTATTTCCCGACCTAGTCAAAGCATCTGACAGTGTCCCACCAACAGTACCGCTTCACAAGATCATGTCAGCTGGTATAAGTGGACCCCTACTCTCTTGGTTCAAGGAGTACCTGGAAGGGAGGCAGTTCTGCACTAAAGTAAACAGAATAAGGTCGGAGTGGAGACCCTCGACGTCAGGAGTATCCCAAGGAGCAATCCTAGGACCGCTTCTGTTCCTCCTGTTTGTCAACGATCTGCCAGATAAAATATCCTCACCCATCCTCCTCTTCGCTGACGACATAAAAATTTGGAGGGTGGTAAACGAAGAAGCTGATTGTACAGCACTACAAAAGGACTTGCAGCAACTCGAGCTCTGGTCGTCGGAAAATGGCCTGAGCTTCAACCTGGAAAAGTGCAAAGTAATGCACATCAGTAAAAATGAAGCAAGTACGACCGACTTCCAGTACATGTTGAGCAACCGTGCTATCACCAGAGTGTCCATGGAGAAAGATTTGGGGCTCAACTTCTCCGACACCTTGGACACCAGCTCCAACTACAAAGGTATGAGAACCAGAGCGAACGCCATTCTACACTTTCTGCGTAGACAGCTTGGCGCCCTCACTCCCGAACTCTTCCTCACCATTTTCAAATCCTACGTGCGGCCGCATCTAGAGGTCTTCAATACGGTGGCTCCTCCAACACTCAAGAGAGACTCTAATCTCCTTGAAAGAATACAAAGAACTGCAACAAAATGTGTTGTGGGGCTAAGGGGAAAGACGTATCCTGAAAGACTTAAACACCTAAACCTATTTACCTTGGGTTATCGCAGGGAAAGGGGTGACCTTGTTAAGGTGTACAAGATCGCCCATCAGGCAGACCATGCAAACAAATCAATTTTGCCTGCAACTCAAGGATCTTCACGAAGAAACCCCATTAAGATAGCACACCAGAGAGCCAACACCATACTCAGGTCCAAATTTTTCTCCCTAAGAGTATGTGCTTTATGGAATGCCTTACCGCGACACATCGTTATAGCTCCCTCAGTCGACTCATTCAAGAGACTATAAGGCAGTTATGTCACCTCGCATGGACTACCACGGACGTACTCAAGTAGTCACCAACCTCACTGGCCCCCAACTCCCTCCTAACTACCACTCACTATCTCCCTCCTTAATACACCCACATTACCTACTAATTCTTCTGTAGGAACCAAACCCACACGACCATCCACTCAGTTCCCAAATACTTTTCTCTCGTTCTCATTTCTCTTTTCACCCCTCCTTTTCTTCTCCCCTTTTCTCTTCCCTATATCATTATTTTCTTGCCTCTTTTTTTCTTTATTCTCTCTTCATTCCTTTACCACTACCTTACTATTCTCTTTCAGGTGCCTACACAGACAGGAGTCATGGCAGTTCCCTTAACTTCCCGGAAACCCGTAGCTCCCCAATCACTCTAGAAATTACAACTTACTAACCCACAAAACATCCACCTCACCGAAGCTAAAAGCAAGAAAGCAGAGGATATTTCCTCGTCCACTGCAGTGGTGTACCGAACAACTCGAACCAAGCCCTAAGAACTAGACTCGAGAGATCAAAAACCACCGGTTTTCTACACTCGCACTATCAATATTGGATATTGGATATTGGTACTCACACGTTAGGTAAAGTACTGGTTAAGCAGATACTAGAGCACATCAAGTTAAGTAGGATTGATCAAACGTTACGTAATTGTAACACGCATCCCTACACTCTTCTCATTCCCTACTAATCTTATTTCTAGCACTACTTTTTAGATAACGTTTAATACCTACATTCGAGTGTTTATAAAAGTAGAGGTGGCAGAAAGCCAACTAATGTCGCCAGTAGCCGCGTTGCTGCTCCAAACAAACCAAGACGCAATTTACCAAAACAATACCTTCGGATTAACAATCACTGCATGAAAAGGAATAACCAGATAAACGGTAAAAGTTTTATCCGCCATCAAAGATGTGTAATCAGACAGAAAGAGCCAAGCCTCAAGGTTAGTAAGACAGTACAAAAACTACAGGGTTCCTCTACTCACATTGTTGTTGGATGTTGGATTTTGTTTTAGTTGTTCTTAAGCGTTACATTTTTGTACATGTAACACCTTATCGTGTGTGACAGTAGAGATGGCGACAGGTGTGGCAGTCAGGTCTAGTATCGGTGATGTAAATTTTACTAATTGTCACATTTCAGTTAGTGGTGCAAAATATTCCCTAGTGAACTAAAATCGGAAATGCAATCCCTACTTTTTGTGAAGAAACTGTTCGCAGTTGCATTGTCATACGTTTTGTATTTCAGAAAAATATTTGCGGAGTCAGCTTTTCATGACAAGCAGTTAGAAGGTATGGTAGTGACCATAATGCCTTCCATCAGAAATTAAATTGAAGATTTTGAAGGAGGGCTATAAGTTTCCAGGATCTTCAAAAGTAGTTTACTGGCTCAAAGGTTGCTTTGATGCCATTGATCGTCAATATGTAAGTCTGCTTAAAATTATAATCAAGCTTCACAGCTCAAATCAGCAACTCTTGTACTTTATTCCACTTCTGGCAACAGATCTGAGTACAACGTAATTGAGTCATATTGCTTCAAGGTATCATATGAATGGAACAATCTGTCGTTGAGTGTGACATCCAAATCCGAAAGGTTAACACTGCCTTTATTCTAATGAAATTCAGAGAATCCAGTAGTTTGTGTGAATTGTCAGTTTGTTCCGATGAAGGCGTTAAGCTAGCTACTTTGAATCTCCTAAAGAATATAGAGTCGGCTGGGAAAAGATTAACAAAATTACCACCAGACCTTATGATAACTATGAAATTAGAATATTACAGTGAGGGTAAGTGTTTAGGTGTACACAATACGCTGTAACATTTTCGTTTATTCATTTCAGTTCTTGAGATGTATTGTACTCTGGTGATCTGTGTTATATCGTCATTGTCTTATATCTTCCTAAGACAAAATACTGTTCAATTATCCAGCGAACCGTTATTTTTCAAGAAAGCTGTCTATTTTGAACAAAGCCATAAGTAACTTACTGCGTACATTTTGGAACTTAAACATATATTTGGTCTAACCTCACACATTATTAGTCTCACCTAGCCTTTATCTGTAGCATTAAATATTACTAATAACTCCTAGTTGTATGAACTAATATTAACTAAGATTATTACTAGTGGTATGCGCTTCTTGTTTTAAGTTGTCGCGACCCTTATACACCGGTGACGTGTATGATAATGACGAACAAATGAAAAGACGAAAGACACGAAATTCGAAAAGTTGTATTTATTTGTAGCCACCAGAAACGAACACAGTTTCTGCAACACACATTATGCCAAATGTTTGACATTATGTTATTCTGAAATAAATTGGACTTCCTCGTTAGCCTTTAGTGCAAACCCTTCGTTAATCTGTAGGCCGATGACTGCTACCTTGACATAGAAGTTGAACTTATAAATCAAAATGACTCAACCAGTTGCATTCAACTTGATGGTTCGCAGTAAAATCCAAGAGGCACTTTTTGTCGTATTCGTAACGCGTCGGCTTGATGTACTTGTGCCCCAGTGAGTGGTGTTATTCCCGCTGACACTCGAAATCAGTATCTCTCGCTTCTAGTATTAGAGCGTTATCCTCTAGGTCACTAGGGAACGAAATCCACCACTTGGGCAACGGGTATCGGTTGTTAATTAATAATTGGGATTTCCAGCTACTGTACTCAACGAGCTACACTAGTTGGAATATTCGTCCTCTCAAGGTCCTACCATGCCATTAAGATCAACTGGATAATGGTCAGGTAAAAATCAGATGCCGTGGTTGTGTTAATTGCTTCACCATGATACAGGCCTGAAAGCGATTTTGTGCTACTGGATTTCCGGAGTGTGCCAGCAGTAATATGTTTTCTGCGGACAAACACTTATGTCTTGCTGGTGCCCCTTCCCTATGGGAAAGCTGAAAAAGTGTTTACAGAGTGCTGACGCCAAAAATAGCACACTTTTTTGACCTACGGTCTTCCATGAGCAGTGGTATGGGTGGTTTCTACTCCATGTTAGTATAGTCAAGTCAGATACGAACAACCCACAAAAGGATATTTGTGACAGGCCGAAAGCAGATGTCGCATACCGTTTGCGATCACACAGACTTTGTACTCTTCTATGTATCTTGCTGAAACAACTTTTACGGTATGAACAGCCAGGATGTTGCAGCTGCCCATATGCTCCCAGTAGTATTCGATGTTCATCCAGACTAAACCTATGCCTCTTGACTCTATCTCCTCCCTTGCTTTCACTTTCCAAAATCAATATCGAGCCTCCTACAACTTCTTCAGACTCTCACTCTACGACCAATGTCAAGTATTAAAGTCATCAAAATGTCTTTCCTAATCTCCAAATGCCTCTTTGTCAATTTCTTGTTAGATCCTTGGACTTCCTAACCCGATGACAAATCGTATAGCAAATATCACTCTCTAGGACTTTGGTAACTTAAGCCACTGACGTATGTTGTACTTCTGAGACATGTAAATAGGACCTAAGTTTGGTTATTTACTAGACCTTACTTGTTAATTATGACGAATTTCCGAAATTCACCTTACTAGTATCCAGAGAATCAGTGGCTACCTTCTGTGGACTTGCTAGTGTAGGCGTAGCATTGAGACAGAACAGAAAGGGCAGTTCTTGACTAAATGCCAGTTAGAAACCATCTGCGTGCTGTTAGACAATGGATTTGTAAAGAATAGAAAGAATCACAAGACTAGCTGGTGCCTATTCGTAATCTGCATCTACGAGCCCAACGAATGTGGTTCGGACGATACAAATGATGAATTCTGTGAAAGGCTGCCAAGTTTTACTGCAGAAATCAAAACTTACAGATATAGTCAAAAAAGTAGGTGACCTCAGCACCCAGGTGGGGAAGCTGGGCAGATCGGGAAGGCAACTAGAGAATCTCACTCTGACAAACCAACAGTGGCGATCTTCTTCCGGAATTTTCTTTTGATAAGCAATTGTTTCAAGGAACCACACTTCATAATAAGTACAGGAGTTGTTTAACTTGGCATCTATCCGCACCAATCTACAGGTTGAAACAAATCAGTCATAAATCTTTGTTGGGGTGGGTCAACAAAGGAGCACTTCCCTTTCTGAAGCAACAGTTTGAAACCCAACCAAGGGTTAGTACAGACTAGTGAAAGTTCGCAAACTACTGGCAGCAGTAAAGCCTTTCTGGGCTCGACTGTAATTTGACAACGTAAAACATGTATCTAGGGAGGAGGTGGTGAAGAACTTATCTGAACGTGACAGGAGTGCTAATGCTGAAAAAATCTGGCGTGATAATAACTCTGCTGTAGAAACAGTGGTAAAAATATTTAGTAACATACATTCAAAGGTTAGAAAACTCCAATGGACTTCAGCAGCGTCATTTGAAATGACTGATGCAAGGATACTGATTTCAGCTAGCTCTGAGCATACTGAAGATCGAAAGTAGCATCAATGTATACAAACCAGGAGTCTTTGCCGTGAATGCAAGAAAACGTGGGTGATGAGAGTGAGAGAGGTGGAGGATGCAACAGCGTTGGACAATCATCGGTAACCATTTAGGCTTATTAATTATACCAGTGAAAGGAAAACGATGGTTAATGGAAAAATAACCGAAAAGATAGGAGACTGATAATTTCCCAGGCCAGGCAGTCGGAACGTTGAGCGCCTTTTTTCAGCTGACTCTCGGTAACACCTCAATTGCCCAACATCTAGCCTGAACCTGAATGAGACGTAGATGCTGGTCCTTCAACTCTCGTTGAAGTTGGAAAAGCTGTGTTAAACCTAAAACGATGAAAAGCAGCAGGATCTGACACTTTTCCACCAGAAGTTTTCAAGGACGGAGGTAAAAAATCGCTGATAGGAATGACATGGGCACTAGGTAGTTTATGGGAATGAGAGGTAGTACCGTAACCCTGAACCATTTCACTGACCATTCCAACCTATGAAAAGGGAGAGAAATCATCCGGTGATAAACATACGGGAATTAGGTTGACTGATACTGTGTTCAAGACCCCAGAATCCATAGTTGTACAACGCCTTAATGGAGTTGGAGAACAGCAAACTCGAGAAAACCAGGCAGGTTTAAGACAGAGCTGGACAAGGGTGAATTGCTCATGTTTTCACTATCCGATAGGTTCTGGAACACAAGCATGCATACTGGCCAGCGGCTGAAACTTGCCACATTCCTTGTTCTGAAGGCGGTATTTGACTCTGTCGATCGTGAGGCGTTACAGCAGTGTCTGACTGAAGGGAATGCCAAGAAAGTAAATAATGCTAGTAAACACCTTCTGTTTGAACTCACGCAGCCGTATCAGGGCTTATGGGGAGTTATAATGTGAATTGACGACAACTATTGGTGTCTGATAGGAATGCCCACTATCACTGTTCCTGTTTAACTTTGTAACTGATATACTAATGGACTTGAATTTGGGTGCATCGAACCTTACAGGGATCGACCAACTCCTCGGCGGTCATCTAGCTGATTTGGAGTATGCACCCGATATCGTCCGGATTCGTGAAGACGCTGGCAAAATGCAGACGATACTGAAAGCTTTGAGCAAGAATCTGAGTATATTTAGCATGTATTTCTCACCTGTCAGCTGCAAGAAGATACTCAGGGACTGGTTTAAAACTACTGTCAGCTTCAGGCTAGCGAGACAGAAGTGGTGGAATGCAATGACCGCTTCACATAATTTTGAACTTGCATGAAAACAAAAGTCTGGTTGCTGAAATTTCCAGATATCTGAAAGTGTTTTAGTTGGACACTTGAAATCAATTACATAAGTTAGAGGAATTGTTTGACTAGAGGTTAGACCTACTGATACTTATACTGGAAACAGAAATAAGTAAGAGGTAAATGAATATTAGTTGGTTCCGTTGTGACTACCTTTCACAGTGACAAAGTACTTATTATAGCTCAAAATTGAATAGAAAACAGGTTAAACTCTGTTCAAGGTTTGATTCTGGAAAAAAGTAATAAATACTATAAATCTATGACTATGTCTAGTTGTCATGAATATTCGTATTCTTGGCAGACGTATTCGAAAAATGACGTAGATTTGCTACATGCTGCACCTAATGAGCAAATCGTCACGGGAAATACTCCTTAAATAAGACATTTAAATAAGGTTCATAAATTAGCCATGGAATTTGACAAAACCCGGAAGTTTTGTGCTCACAAACTAATCTAGTAAGGTGTATACATTTTGACTACCCAATTTCAAAAACACCTGTCTTGTGCCCTTTGTAGAGTAAACCCAGACTATCTTATGTAGTTCTTTAACTACACTGGATATTTCCCAGAGGTTTGCGCTTCTCTTCAAAAATAATGGCCAGAATGAGGTTCGTAATAAACTATCTTTCAATTGGATAGTACTTGTCAAACTACACAACAACAGTGTTTAACCTGTCTGGTCAAAAGCAGCGGTTAATATGCCATGTTTTTAAGCGAAGGGAATGAATTTTAAGTAACTCATCCTTGATTCCAATATAGTAATATGAAACAAGGCGTATTGCTACTTTTAAAGTACCTCAACAGCCATCTGTTGGAAGGTTTATTAATTCCATACCTAGATTTAAAATCATTATTCCTTTCATTTCCAGTTTCTATGGGCATATTTTAAAACCGTTCCTAATTTATTGCATCCAATATTCAGCTTGTTTGCAGAAGAACACTTAGAGCTTTCCTATAAAATCTGGGTTAACAGGTCAATATTTTCGACTATTAATTTCTGTATATATGACATGATGTAATATAAACCATCTAAACTTTCACCATATCCTGTATCTAGGTTCCTCCTCCTTAAACACT